AAGATAGTACACTTATTCTATTTTTGACATTACTTAATAATTTGTTTATATTTCGCGATTAGGGTTTAATAAAAATTCAACATGCATTATTTGTATATGATAATCATTTGATCTTGATTTATTTAGCGATTTAATTGATTTTTGCGGTTTTTTAATTGTATAAACATAATTTAATGTAAGTGGGTGGTTTAATCCACTACCCGTTACCTATACAGGTAGATCGCCCTTGCCGCGTAGGAGGGCCACGCGCCGGCCTTGTTCGCCCTCGACAATCGATCCGCTACTACCCTGATCCAAATCAGGTCACTATGTTTGCGGGTGGCCCGTTGCGCTATCAAAAATTATTCGAAATTTTATCAAAAATCTAACCGGATTAACGTTGAATCGACCGGAAAACGTTTGAAATGTTTCCGGGAATTTTAAACGATTTTTTCTTGTATGAATCCATTTTTTCGATTTTTTGAGAATTTAGGGATGAATTTTGTTTCAGATCATTGACGACCAACTACGAGGTGATACTCCATTCTTTGATACGTCAGCGCTTTAGGCTATTGCCATTCTGTATAGTCGACACGGGTTTTATATCTAGTGATTCAAAATTGCTGCCATGGGTCGCAAAAAAATACAAATATCAAGAATCACCGATGAACGGAATCGACAGGTACTGTGTTGTTTATTTTGTTTTTGTTTTGTTGCAATTTATACGTTTAGGTCACTTTCAACAAGCGGAAGTTCGGCGTGATGAAGAAAGCTTACGAGCTGTCGGTGTTGTGCGACTGTGAGATCGCGCTAATCATCTTCAGCAGCAGCAACAAATTGTACCAATATGCGAGTACGGACATGGATAAAGTGTTGTTGAAATACACCGAATACAACGAGCCCCATGAGTCTCTGACCAACAAAAATATTATCGAGGTACATCAAACCCAGCAGCAACTATGCCCGATACTTGGCTGATGCAAACACGATAACTCTGTTTATTTATTGTTGATTTTTTTTTCAAGTCGTACCTTTTATTCACTGATAACTTTCGAAAAACCTAACACATTATTGTTTTGTTGTGCTTATTATTTACTAAGTTATCGAATCGCTGCATTTGCCTGTTATTTACGCGAGTTGTTGCTTCAGTTTTGAGATCCTAACTTGTAATGCTAGTTACGTGTGGTAGAGACTCTTTAACTAGAGATTATTAGAACGTGTGGTGTGTGTATGATAGCCCCAGAGGCTGCGTTATTCCATGAGCTGGTCCACTGACACTTGCAGGCACTTAATAAGAAAGAGCATAAGAACGGAGTGATGAGTCCTGACAGTCCCGAACCGGAGACGGAGTACCAGTTGACGCCGCGGACCGAGGCCAAGTACAGCAAAATCGACGAGGAATTTCAGATGATGCTTCAAAGAAACCAAATCAATGGACAGAGGGTATGTCTAATTATTTAATAAAATTGGTTTATTTCGCATTGTTTGGAATGAAATTGATGTTTTTTTGTTTGGTTATAGGTTAGCATGAGCTCTTCGAATTATACACAACCCGTATCGGTGCCTGTTAATATAAGTTATGGTGATTCTGGTCTTCTTCAATCTAGTCCGCAAATGGCTCATACTAGTATTAGTCCCCGACCGTCTTCTTCTGAAACAGATTCGGTATACCCGAGCGGAGGAATGCCCGAGATGAGCAATGGTTATCCAAATTCAGCATCTCCAATGGGTGGATCGCCGTCCCCAGGACCAAGTCCAGGACCAGGTCTTAGTTCCTCAAAGCAGCATCCAAAACAACATTCACCCGGTCCGAGGTCAAACCTCCGAGTCGTCATCCCTACGGCACTAGGACCAAGTATTAACCCGGAAGAAGTTTCTTATGGAGAAGTAAGAATTCTTCATTTTTAGTCTAAATAACAGATTTGCATTTATATTGTTTGTTTCCAGCATAATCGGACTCAATCGACTTTGAATACCCCCGTGGTGGCGTTGCAGACTCCCGGTTTGTCAAATTATCCTGGTACTTTGAGTTCATTTGGAGCTCAGGATTTCAGTATGGGAGCAGATATGGGTTTGAGTTCAATATCTTGGAGCGGCCATCAGATTTCGACGACGTTAACACACACAAGTAACTGTTTGCCGCATTTAGCAGTGTCAAGCAGCACACCACCGCCGTCATCATCTTCACCAATACCTGTGAAAATAAAGAGTGAACCAATTTCGCCTCCCCGAGAACATCATCCGCATTTAAGTGTGGGTGTTCATCATTCTCACGTACAGAGCTTAAACTTGACGCACAGTCACCATCCGAGGCCCAGTTCTGCTGGTCATATAACGCCGACTCCTGGTAGTGTGACGCCGACGAATTTGCCGTCACCGACGGGGCCGCCAAGCGGGGGTGATTACGAGAATATTCAGATGCATAAGCGAGCAAGACTCACAGACTGGCCATCCTAGACCAACTGCGGCGCACAAGACGCTAAGTGCCATAGTGATAACGTGTGGATAACTGAACGCGTTTCTATTGCCAATTGTCATCTATGTGATAAACTACGAGTCTAGTAAAACTGGATATTTTATGAAATTTGTAGTCATTTATCAGTGAAACATATATAAAAAAAACGATTTTGTAGAGAGAAAGAGAGAGAGAGCGCAGCGCGAGAGAGGATCAGATTTGATCAGATTTATATAGAATGGGTTAGTGTGGTGAGTGTGTCGTGGTTGTTCCAGTCAGCGACAGCGTTATATGCTGGCGCCAACATTTGTTCTCAGAAACAAACATAATATATAGTGCCATTATTTTCTTGTAATTATTAGTGTCTTTTTTATAAATGTTTTTAGATAAATAGTATATTATTTATAATGTACACTTGTTAATTTAGCGAGGATGCAGCCACTAACAAACATATTGAGACTATGCAGGACACTACTCTTGTTATGTATTGGTGCTTTTCCCAACCTGATCGGATGTACTCTGTCCACTGGCTGTTGGTGCGGACGGCTTGACAGACGCCGCGGCGGCTCTGCTTCGCCGGATTGACGCTGGCCGTCGGTCCGTCCGTCCGTCCGCCCGTCAATGTTGAATGTACTGTATTTGTACTGCTTCCCCATTGGAACCTAGAGTGTTCATTGTTGTAGCCTTTTCAATTTGTTTGTGATTTCAGAGTACGATATCTATTCTGTATATTGACCTACACAAATTAAATTATATAATTATACATTATATAATATAGATATATTTTATCTACTGTTGTGTGCACAAACCTTGCACATAGTTTTAAAGTTTAAAATGTCGGTTCGACCCGGCTGTCCGTCTTCGCACGGATGACCCTATCTCCACTGAACTACTGTAGGATTGCCTTACTCACAGTGCCTCGACAGTATGTACGTATCTATTTGTGTACTACACCATTGGATGTCTTCAGTAAGTCATCTTAAGTCCGAATGCGCTGCGGTACATTTTCGTCGATAATTCACAGGGTATTGCGCCGTTCTACACTCCACTCTGCTGACTGGCACGTGCTAGTGCTAGACAGCTGCCGCTGCTTGTGCCTTCTTGTTAACCTGGTACCTTTCCGAACCCCCAACTGGCTTCCGTGTCACTGCACTACTGTCTCTTCTGTATGTTATTCTTTATTTATGTCAATGTTTTGACATGTCAGTTGACACGATTTTATTTAGTCGTTTTATGTTAAGCGGAACATTACGCCTCATTTTTAAATGGACGAAATACCCAGCTACATTATGTAAATATAGTTATATTTTATTGTAGCGTTGCCAATATTTGTTGATCATTTTACACCTCATCTTTCATTTTACATTTACATCATAAGGCATTATATTACGTCCATTTGACATAGGCATTTTTCAATCATGTGCAATATTAATCTGACGTTTATTTATCTATGATGTATTGAATTAAACCAAATAAAAAATTGTTTGTTACAATTTTAAGCCTACATTTATTTAACAACACATCTACATCCATCTTATCATTCCATCAACACTATATTCAAAATTATTAGTGGTGTAGCAAATAAACTGAAAAAAAAAATGTTTTCGCTTTATTGTGCATTGTTATGCATTATAACTAAAGAATCTAATTACTGTAAACGCATGCGCTTTTTGCTTATCACAAAAAATATTGTTAATTGTAATATTCCAAAAAACGCGCAAAGTCAAAAAAAACAATATAACTAATACTAATATTATGCGAAAAATTTACAATCTTCGCATATATTGATTTTTTTCGTGTTGTGAACTATAGACGAATATGAATATCAATTAATCCACAACAAAATTTTTACAAGGCTAACTTCGTCGTTAACCTTGCTGCATTAAAGATGTAACACTGATAAATTACTTTCATGCTTAATTTGCTTCATTTTTTGTAACAAAACGTAAGATTTTCGTACGACTTATTTTGCAAAACAAATACAAATATTTAATGCTTAACAAATACACACCCTAGCAAAATTGGTAATCAAATGATGGTTAACTACAAATATTTAAAACCCTATTATTATGAGAAAAACCCAAGGAGAAATAAAAAAAAAGATATAATTACACTGCTACAATTACGACTCGAATCTGCAATACTCTGCTACACGTGTTTATGGGAATCAATACCTTTACAAGACTTTCTGATATCTAGATTAGCTAAGTTACACTCTTATTCAGCTAGACAAAAAACCTGAATCATTTATAGAAAGCTCGAATTTTTTCCTGAAATATTAAATAAACGCAAACAGTGATAAAGAAGTATTAATTTCGTTAGACATCTACGAAATATGATGCTAATCTTAAATAACACGTTGAAATGCTTATAATCAAACGAGTAATTCCCCAAAATTTCCCACAAGTATTTTCTCCGAATTTCAGACTCCATAATTAAAGTACACATGTGATTGGAATTCCATACACTTCGTTTATGGAATTTAGCTCCGCCCATGTACTTCTGACGTGATTTTTATCAAATGGCCTTTACGTCCCCCAAATTCATTTTAATCTACTGCTACTATTTTAGTAACAGGTTTAAATAAAATTTTCGTTTCATATTTGAAGTTATTTGTTTATTCAATTTAGTGACATTTGACGTAATCACCAGACAAAGCAAAATGTAAATGTCAAAACATGATACATCTGGAGAGTTAAAATTTACAAAATAATTATTAATTAGTGCCTTAACAAATCAAAAATGTCAGACGAGAGTAATTGTGATCTTACAACTGATGCCATACCAAGTCCTCCAAGGGATGAAGTTAAACAAGAAGAAACGGAACCAACAAATATCCCTCCTAAAATGAAAACGAAAACTAGAGTCTTCAAAAAGTCCAAAAAGAGCGAACCAACTGGTAAGGCAGTTGTACTTAATTCAAACAAGACTTTTATGTAATTTTAGCTTTTGCCAGTGTAATCAATATTAGTAACGCAAATGGAATTCACGTTGGTTCCAATTATAACGTGTATCTCAGTAAAACAGAGACTCAACCACAAAAAAAAGACTATATTGTGACAGAGCCCATCAGGAGACTCTTTGACAGTGGTGTACCTGTTGATAGAAAAGCTTTAATATTTCTTTCTCCTCATATAAATGAACATTGGAGAACAATGGCAAGGGCGTTGGATTTCTCGGATGGACAAATCAGTCAGTTTTACGAGGATTACATTAGGTCTGGAATTAAAGAAGTATGTTTCTGGTTTTGCTTTAAGAAATATTAATTACTTCATTTGCAGGTAATTTATCAGCTCTTATTAGACTGGATACAAAACGATGCAGATCGTGCCACGGTTGGAAAATTATCAAAAGTACTGTGGGACACAAATCAACAAGATGCGGTTAAAAGATGGTCTGAGTATATTATAAAAAATTAGTCGAAATATTTGTTGCTTTTTATACATAGGTATTGTATAGTTTAGTAATAGAAGTTTTATATTCTTTCAATTACGGTGTTTCTTATCAATGTTATGGAAAGTTTTTTTATTATTTCGCATTAGAAAAACTGTTTTAATAATAACAGACAGATTGTGCAAAATTTAATCATGTGATATCTTTAGGCCAGTGACATTTGGTAACAATGAAGTAACACTTTTTTCTAATTATCAATGTTTTTTATGAATCACCAAATTTCACTGATTTAAATGTTTGCTACTTGAATGTAATTTGAATAACTATAATTTGGCTATTTGTTTTCAGTATTAAGCCATTTTGTATTTTGTTGGAAATAAAAGAAAATTAAATCACATTATTTTATTTAAAGGGTAGTTATAAAAACTAAACTAATGACAAGAAAATTACAATAAAACTACATAATCATAATGTGCATTGGGGCCTCTGAGACCAGAAAATTAAAATATTTATGAAAATCAAAATAATACTAGTTGTAAATTAAAGCGTAACTTTCAATTCTTTTTCTGTAAATATTTGCGCCTTGCACTTGGAGTATTCTTCCAAGATGCCTGACTTGTCCAAATTCGCATCAATAATTAAAACCGGGGCTGGACACTCAAATCTCTTTTCAAGTAACCACTCTTCATGCAAGTTATGAATATCTTGGAAATATTTAAGGGGCACAGATTGCTCTTCAGGTCTGTTACGTGTCACCATGCGCTGATACGCCGTCCCAGGTGTTGTCCTCAAATAAACTAAAATTGGAAATTTTCGTATTGCCTCGATTTTTTAAATCTTACCAATAAGATCAACTGATAAGTCACAGTTTTCTTTAGCCCAATTGAACCATTCGTCCATTACTGACACTGAAGCATGGTCAATGCATCCATTTCTGGCCATTTGCTCCACAAAACAATTTCTAAAAAAAAAAAAAAATTAAATATGAAAAAACTAAATAATACTACCTAGCGCTGTAAATAGATCTTTCCATTAATTTTATTGGGCGGCCCGTTTTCATAGTATGATGTTGCAAAATAGTCAATTGCACGTAAGACTGGAAGGTGAAACTCCATTTTTTTGGGTCAGAATACATTTGCTCCTGCAAACACAACAGAACATTTAATTTTAAAAGAAAAACGAAAGATTAATACTTACAAGTAAATTGTAACCATTGCAGTTTCGCCACTTATTAACCGGCTCTGCAAGTACATTGACATCGTCATATTGTTGAAAATAATTTAAAAACGTGGTTTTGCCACAACCGATGTTACCCTCCACAATAACTGTGTACGGGCGTACGTTTGCAAATTGTTTTAAAGGTGAACGTTTCAAATAATCGGTATTCATTTTGCAATGTTGCACAGCAAACAACACATTAAACAAAACTAATTTCAGTTAAATGTCTAGGATTATATTAGATTACATTAAATCAACGATAAAAAGGCATCACACTGTACATAACTTGTAGCCGGCATTACTTTTGTTTATCTACATTCCCGCCTATTTTTTTTAGGGACTTTTGATTTATTACCAATTTTGTAATTAATTGACATGCGCAAAAAGTTTAAATTAACTGATTCTTGTAATTATTTAGAAGTTAATAAAAAATAATTTATACATTTTTTTTCATTTTAAATGTCTTGTCTTTTTGAGTGATTTAAATAATTAAGGGTTGTAATCTTGGTGATAAATCTTTTTCCAAAAGATGGTTTCTGTTTTATCGTCACCTGTCACACCTGTCAACCAGCTGATTTGCAGCTGATTGTTAGTGTTGTCAATTTTCCGATTGAAGCAAAATTGCTTTAAATGAATAAAAACCGGGTTTGTTAAAAAAATTAAGTTAGTTTATATTTACCAAACTACACTGCTTAAATTCAATCGATGACTTGACAAGATTTCTAACCTCACACCCATGGCTCAGTGCAAACAGACTCCTCAAGAATTTATAAAAAACGCCTTTACTCCTCAAATTGCTGTTTTGTGTACACCTCTTGCTGAAAGTTCTTGTGAGAAAAATAATTTGAATTTTATTGAATTACTTCAACCTTTTTCAAAATTGAGCAATGATGGTATTGTAATATTCAAATATTAGACAAATCCTAATTGATTTTTTTTAGTTCATTACAAAGATCCAGCAGGTACAGTTATAACAATAAGGAATCTGAAATTAACTTTCTTGGATGTGAATTCAAGACCTCCTCAAACCACTTTAGCTAGGAAATTTTTGAATTCCTCAGTAAGTGAATTGTCAGACTTCAGGACTGAAAGTTTTATAACCAGTGAACACGCTTTAAACACTACTTTAACTACGCCATGGTTTGAGGCTTGGAGAGATACGTTTTTACGAGTTCAGTATCCCTCTGATCATGAATATACAAAACATTTTCTATCATGTGTTTTGGTTGTTTCTTCAGCTGAAATCAATGTTATTGAAAGTATCATTCAGTTATCACAGAGTTTGAATCAAATGCAGAACAATGCTCCCGGAAAGTTACCTAAATGGTTTAGCTCAAATATTTTAAAATATTATGTGATCATCCATGACAATGTTGAAGGAAATATTGATGTGTAAGTAAAGCATTTTTTTGTTATGTTTGAAAACAATATTATTTTTAGTGCTAATGAAGCATATGAGTCTGTTAAATCATCATACGGAGAAGCAAATTGTTTTCTTTTAAGAATGAATTCACGGCCTCCTGGTGCTGCGAACACTGAGCATCTACCAGACCCTTGGAGCCAATTTATTAACAGTAATATTGAGTCCAGAGACTACAAACCAACCCCTGAAAGCTCACCTTATACTTCAAGGGCAATTTTTGATATCAGTCAAGATTCTGATACAAAAACCAACTTAAATTATCATCCATTAAGCCCAGACACCGAAGATTTAATAATGGTAATAATAATTGAAAAAAACTATTGCTTATGGTAAAATTTTAGAGCACTTCAACAAATGAAAAAGACAAATTCGTATCAAACACTTCAAAATTAAAATCGCACGGTCTTTGCTTATCAACTGAAGACGTAGAACAGGTGAAATTATTTTTACACGAGTTTACCAAAACCTGTTTGTTGCCTTATATCGAAAAACAAATTCACCAACTAAGTGATGTGATATCAAATAAAAAAGGTGTCAGCAGATCGTTATTCAGTGCGACAAAGCGGTGGTTTAATCCAAACAAACCTGGCGCCAGTTCAGTTGCAGTGAATAACCTTATGTAAGTTTTCTCTTCAAATAATTTTTCTTGAGTATAGTTTTTAGATACGCGCCTGATTCACCTGAATTACAAGTCCGGCGACTAGGAGACCTTTATTTCATGTTTGGCCATTATTTACTAGCGTTTCAAGCATATCATTTAGCTAAAAGGGATTACAACACTGACCAGGCTTGGCTGTACTATGCTGGGGCACTAGAAATGGCCGCGTTAGCAGCCTTCATGGCAAATGAGTCGAGCAGGAAGACTTACGATTACATGGAAGAAAGCATAACTACTTACTTGAACACGTGCAAGTAGGTTTTGCGATTTTATAACTATTACAGAAAAATTAATTGAAAGCTTGTGACTTAGAAATGCAGTTGGCAACATTGGATAATATCAGAAGAATGAACATTGATAAATCTGATCTCTTTTGTTATTTAATTATTTAATCTTGCTGACTCAATTTCAAACTAATAGGCTACTATGATTTTTTTCGATTATTGACAATTTATAAAATTAAGTTAAATGCGTGCTGGTTGTATTTGAAAATGATACATGTTCTTTGTAGAAACGTTGAACTGGCAATTAATTGGCACATGACTGTATAATAATTCAGTTTGTTCTATCTTTTGACAGATTTTTTAATTACGATTTAGGATGCCTCAATTTGCAACGCGAGCAACACTTTTAAGCTCCGAATGTCTCAAAAGTAAAGGATTGTACGGCGAAGCAGCCCATCAGTTGATAAGAATGACAAGTGAAGAGTCCGATTTAAGATCAGCTCTGTTTCTTGAACAGGCCGCTTATTGTTTTTTACATTCAAAAATGGTTAGAAAATATGCGTTTCATATGGTTTTGGCCGGTCATAGATTCTCTAAAGCTGCTCAAAGGAAACACTCATTGAGAAGTTACAAACAAGCACATCAAATTTACGAAAATAGTGGCTGGGATTTAGCTGAGGATCATATTCATTATACTATAGGACGTCAAGCTCATAATCTTCATTCCTTTGATGAGGCTGTGAAGTCGTTTGCGAGACTACTTAACGGAGATAGCAAACAGTCTGGCCAACAGCAGAGTGTGTTCTTGAAGGAATATCTAACAATACTAGGGGTAAGGCAAGAGTGTGCAAAAAGCGTATAATATAATTTTTTTCAACAGAATAAATTATTGAAAGAGGATGATAATGAGATTCCGATTCTGGCTTTACCGGAGTTAGACAGTGATTCTTTAAAGTTGTTAATGGAGCCAACGCCTCCGTTAACAACACCTGGAAAGGTTCCAGCAATGGGAGTTAACTTTCTTGAAAAAGATAGCGCTGATGCTGTAGCTAGGTGGAATAAATTGGAGGAAATTTTAGTACAAGAAGCTTTTGGTTCTCTTCCTCTTACATTCAAACCAATGATAACACTTTATAGTGTTAATAATTTAACGAAGAACGTACCAACAGCAATTGTAAATGAACCGATCCAAGTCTGTGTACAACTAATCAATTCGTTGCAAATTGTTCTACAATTGAAAGATATTTATTTGATTTGGTGTTTTAAAAATGACGGCATTGTGGCTTCCAATGAAAATCCTAGCAATAACGTTGACAATTATGTCAAAACGCATGTCACTAAATCGATTTTGTTACAAAGCAATTGTAATCAAAATATTATACTTGCATTAACGCCGTTAGTAACAGGGGTGATTACTCTTCAAGGGATTTGTTACACTTTAACCAGTTCAAACACGCCAACTGACAATATATTTATAAAGGGAAAACAGTTATTTAATTTTGAGAAAAGCTACACAAAAAATGTTAATCATGTGGAAAAAAAGGAAGTAGAAATCAAAGTCGTGCCATTAGCACCCTGTTTGCAGGTATTCCACCAAACAAAATATTCATTTATTCAGTAAGAGTTTCAGGTGACTTTTTCCGAACTCAATTTGGAATTTTTATGTGACGAAGTACAAAAAGTTACAATAGATTTTCAAAATACGGGTACTCTACCTTTGCACAAAGTGTATATGGCGACGTCAGCCCCCGAGTACTTGTGTAATTGTGAGACCAAAACCAAAGAATTGCCCGAATTTTCAGTAAATTGCACACCAGCAATGAGAGAGAAATTTATCAGGGATAACCACATTACTTCAGTACCTCTTCCAAACGATAGGCTTGAACCAGGGCAAAGTACAACAGTTGCCATTTTTATTAAAGCGCCTAATGTATCCGGGCCTTGTCTTGTAGATTTACTTATTTTTTACGAAAATGTCAACACAGGAGTCGTTCCAAGGTAAATAACGCTAAAACTTTTGATTCTTGGTAATAATTCTGAATTGTTGAAGGTATCGGTTAGTGCGCCACAAGTGGAATTTGTCGGTCCAAGATTCTATAAAAATAGATGTGTCAGTTCAAGAGAGCTTTAATTCGAAGCAAGTGGAAGAAATCGCAGTGGTCCTAAAGGCGTCAAACTTGAACAAGCTTCACAGTTCGACTTTGACAGAGATAAGTCTTTTAAACGTGGGAATGCTTAGTAGATTTTGGAGTTTTATCGAAAACGTCGTGACCCCTAAATACATAAACCTACATTCTCAGGAGTCCGCTCATATTTTATTAAAAGCGCGTCGACTTAACGAAAAAAAGAGCGTCTACTCAAATATTTACTTAAACCATGAAAGGAGCATGCGTCAGCACCTCAATTCAGCTTACATCGCTTTCGCCAAAAAGACAGAACATTGTCAAGTGAATTTATTTAATGAGTTTGAATCGACTCCTGAAAACAAGGACGGGATTGTTTTCGTGCAATGGCAGGCGTTGGTGAACGACCCTCAAAAACGGGTAGTCGATGGACAAACACAAATTCGTATAAAAGTCCACAAAACAAACGACGATCAAGCCGACATGGACGAATTTGCGGCTTTGACCGATCCGGCAACTTTGCTCGAAGTCAGTCTGAATAAAGACAAACAAAATGAAAATCAGACTTCACAGCAAACCAAAGTTACGTGTACTCTCATTTACCCAGCAATTGTCGAACATAATTTCCAAAAAGAGAAATTTTGTGTGGTGCCGGTCACGCTGCTCTTACACAGTATTGTAAATGATACCGATTTGAATGTTATGGTTAATACTTTGGGCGCGACGAGGTTTGTCGATTTGATTCACTTGGTTTGAGGTAATTTTGAGTTTTAGTGGGCCGCCACCGCTGACACACTCTGACCTTTTTTATCCGTTTGCTTCCAAAAATTTTTCCTGGCTTGGGACCGGGAGTGCAGTTAAGGAAGTCAAACCTCTGTCGACAGTACCAGTGAATCTCTCGGCTGTGGTTTTGAGACCGGGGACTTTTGATTTAGGTGCGCGAATTGAAATCTTTTGCAGCACTGCCAACCAAATGGACGCTCCTGTACTTCAAACCTGCCAGATTCAATCAGCATTAATTGTTATAGATGGGGATAGTTAACTTTATAATTCAGTTTCAATATTTATTTATCACGATTTTTTGTTGATGTATTTGTATATTTTAAAGAATTTTATGTTTTAGTTTCAATCTATTGTGCTTCAAATAATTTTTTTGTATATATTTACTTGTTTTCTTTGAAACCATTAATTCCAATGTATTAAAACAAATATTATGAATAAAAATTTATTACGACTTTATAAATCTTAACCTAATGACTATACAAAAACGATAGAAATAACACTTCACTTCTTCATCCCAGTAATTTTTTCCCCAATTTGAACAATTTAAATTTTGTGAATAGGAATAACTGTTGGTCTTGTGCTGGATGGAATTCTTCGTCTCCGTATCCATGATTCACCGTGGGATCAGAGTCATCAAAGGGTAAACACACGCACATTGACACCAAAACAACGACGACGAAAAAAACCTGAAAAATTGAATTTAAAAATGGAAATAAATATTTACCGGTTTTCTTACCACAACTTGTAATTTCATTTTGTTTATGTGGGATAAGGTAAGGTAAGTTAGGTAATTTAAGATACTAATGATTTTAAAAGAGGATTTATTTAGCGTTTATATACTGTGCTTAAAAATACCCCACCAGTCCAGCAGTGGGAACCATCGATTGCAAAATTGAAAAAATGTTTATCAATTTATCTGCGGGTGAGGGCAATTATGCTGAGAAAAGAACTGTGGCATTCAGATAAATTAGTTTGGAAATCAAGGGTTAAAATGTGTAGTGAAATGTGTGATAACTTGAAGTGAAAAAAATTACCAATTAAATTTTTGTGTATGCAATTATGAGGTAAACATTGGGGCAGTTTTTCGATTTTTTACTTTTTTAAATATATATTATAGAATTTGAAAACAATAGAATAATAAGAACCACAAATTTGCAATTTTCGAAACGACGCATATATTTTTCGGGAATTTCTATGAATCTATTATGTTTAGAAATTTCATAATCTCCACCAAAAGTCAAGGGTACGATATAACATCTTAAGCAACGTATATATATACCTGCAATTTTAGTTGAATTGGTCGAAATTGCATAATATAATAAGAAATCAAGGCTAAGTCTAAACAAATTTTATTTAGATCACATTGTCATGGCTATCACCTTTTTGTTATTTATTTTCGGTGAAAATATTCATTTATTTATGCAATGGATCGGCAAATTTTAATAATTATAATTTTATAACATCATTATGATGAGAATTTCTATTTATGATGATTAATTATAAAACAAATTTCGACACCACGTCAGTATGAATACTTTTTTGATATGAGACTACGTCGAGTTGCAACAATAACGTTTTAATTGGAATGAAAATGTTTGTTACAATTTAGAATATTGGATAAATTGTACAGACAGGAACACATAGTGCAATATTTTTTTTAATGAATGTAATAATATAAAGCATCTAGGGGTCAAGGAGCTAAAACTACCAACACAATAAACATAATAATAGTACAAAGTGTATTGCCATTTCATTTCAATGCATTATTCACTTATTTTCAAACAATAAAAATAATTTAAATAAAAAAAAAAATTAATAATAAATTTAAAATAAATTGTAAATTGTTAAGTTTCCTTCCTATAAATTATTTTATTTGTCAAGTCAAGCAAGTTACACCCATAGTAAAAAGGTCACTTATTAGTGTTAGCAAGATTCTCGCATTTTGTTTTTTTTTGCGAAGCATTTATAAATTTGCAATATAGACAGATGTGACCCACTTTTGTTCCACACTTATATATTTATTTAGATGATTTTTCGAGAATTTTCGATAAATGGCACCTGACTTCCAGTTGTAATTATTATGAACCGTAACATTAAGTTTGGTTGCACCACATTTAGTGTACAAATTTTCCAGTTTTGAATGCAATGCTCCTTTTACTCCGAAATGTAATTTTGACCATGCAATTTGCCCAAATTGCGAAACGCACAAGTTTTGCCAGCGCGTGTGTGCATTTGGAATACGAGTCAGGTTCAAGTGCATATTTTGAACCGCTTCGAAGTTATGCAAGAAAATTTCATCGATGTCATGGTCTACACTTTACACTCACTAATAAATGTTAATCATAGTGACCATAAACATTGTTTTAATTAATAAATATTTAGCAACCCATCAAATTGCCGCTTTATCTCTTATTGTTGTTTTTACGGTGTACAAAATGAGGTGTCATTGTTTTAACCATGTTTTTGCGACTTCAAATGTATGGATGATCACATTGCGACACTGTATGCTATGAACAATATTGAATTCCGCCCTTGAACAAATTCTTATTACACAATGTGAAAGCTTAAGATGTTATGTATCAATTACAGCCTTTATAAATTACTGATAAAACGGTGGCCCATTTTAATTGCAAAAAACTGCCATGACAAACCGCCATAAAAATATAAATTATATACAGGGTGACAAAAAATTACTGTAAGTTGCTAAAATTTTAAACCAAATTATTTTAGAAAACACTCACTGTTTCTTTTTTTTTTCTAACGACAATCAACTTTTATCCCAAAGTACTGCATTTTTTTGCTTTTCCGAATATGTATATTTATTTTAGTATAATTTTTAATTACTTTATTAAGTAATTCCATGCTAAAACGATCACGAAAAGCCATACCTATTGCCTGAAAAGTGTATGGTACCTATTTTTTCGGTCATGATCGAAGTGACAAAATACCACTAAAGGGTTCTTAAAGTTGATATACCTGGGTTAAAATTATGGCACACAATTCAAATACACTCTACCCTGTATGGGTCTGTTTAGCACACAATACTTTTTAAGGATCCTGTCCTCTTTATAAAGTATATAAAAAAAAAGCAAATAATAATAAATAATAATAAAAAAAGCAAATATTTCAAAAATTATTAAATTAATTGTCAAAAATAATAAACATTATTAACGTCAAGTTCCATTCAGCTGGTCGTTGCCACTCAGTTGACCTCAAAAAGTAGTTCTAATTGTTAAGCCATTCTTACTCGGGATCAAAATTCCCCAGAGCTCTTATGAAGCGTGCACATTCCTGCACCATATAAAATTCAATGTTTATATTCCAAAAGTCATTTTTATCGTCTTCATCTCATCGATTTGTTGTAATGTTGGCTGTCTCGGCACTGTAAATTTTTCCATTGGAGTACTGTGTGGGGTTATAGTAAGTTTTCTTGTAGTTGCCTTTACCGTCTTTTTGACCATTTCGCGGCCGCAAAACACTCGTTTCAAAACCCAACATTAATTGAATGCGTCGAAGAGCCAACTGAAATAATCTCAGTTTTTCTATACTTGAATTTCTTACCCCAAAACGTTTTGTATATGTATTGTTTAAAAAAAATCATTTCAATATGTTGAATTGTTCTTAAGAAAATTTTTTTTTGCTTTGAGGTACTTAATTTTGTACATCCTTGTTTTTTTAATATACACTGAAAAATACTTGTTCTATAACATATCTCAAATTTATAAAAATCGGAAACAATTAGATTTAAAAGTGATCGTTTTCGCGTGGAATTACCTACTCTATTATAATCGGGGTATAATTTGAAATTGTTATTGGAATTCACTTATGCAATGCTTCAATTTTGGCGATGGTTTATTGACTGTACAATGACCCATGAAAGTATTACTGTGTTAATTGTTTATTGTTAATAGTTAATCAGCACATTAATAAAGTTTTATTGGAAAACTAATTACTGTGTTTTAATCACCATCCCTAATTCATTTTTTAACTACATTTTTTATTGTAACAGGTAAGTATCGAAATATAAATACCTAATTAAGCTTATTTGTAATAATTTAAAATAATTTCAAAATTACTAAAAAGTAAATAAAAATATTATCGGTTTAAAAATATGCATGTACATTATTTTAACACTAAACCATTAGATACAATTCTTGCTATTGTGTCTGCTCTGCCAGTAGTATTGCTAAATCCTTTAAGTGAAATTGTTTCCAATGTCAAGAACTTAATTAATATAATCTCACCAAAATTTCAATAGACAAAAAGAATTGTAGATTATCTAATTACTAATTTTTCATCAACGTAAATATAAACATCAAAATGATTAAATAAGTATTCTTGTAAAGGACGTGCCTTTAGGGTCAAGGACGAAAGGTATATGTAATAGTTTTACGTTAAAAGTTATTTATCTATGTCATTTTTTGTAATTTATAAAAATATATTACATTTTAGTAATGCTAAAAAAAAGCGCCAGCATCTTGGTATTTTTATAAATTTTTTTCTGAAATTTTGAAGCTCATCAGAGATGAAGCTCTAATTTATTTCAGAATAGAATTGTTAAATGCTTAATGATTGAATTTATTAGGAGTAGCTACTAAGCAAAATTGTGGAATGAGTCAGCATAAGTTAAGATCAGTTGCTGCATTTCTTTCTCTGCTCTACTTTTGGGCGATAATTTTATACGTCCTAATTTTTATAATTAATTGTGTAAGCGAGAAAATAAAGTATTAATAGTAGTGTGAAGTCAGATGTTTTTTGTATTTTTTAGTATTCAAAAATGTGGCATTTGTAAATAAAACTATATTTTACTCCTTTACTCTAAGCGTTGAATGAATGTGTCAAATTTCAAAATAATAATATATCGTTGAGTATGCAACCAACTACACAACCGTAATTTGAAAACGATTCCAACTCAATAGAAATTTTCCCTTTTTGCAAATTTTGGGAATCAAGCGTCTTACTTAAAAAAAAAACTTAAGCGGGTGATCAAAAAATTTTTAAAAACTATGACAGTTTTCTATGTAGTTAAGTAGACCATTTTTTTGATTTTATTTATATTATTATTTAATACCCATGACCATGACCGTAACTCAATTTACCTTGTAAATGCAAATCATTTAATATTGTGAAAGATTTTCTAAAACTATTAACCGTAATTTCTCAGCAAATTTTGACAATTTTATTGCAAAAGTTTTAAGAATTGTGTAAGTCGTTTATTGATATTAGTAAACAAAAATAAAATAAGCAACCTTATGTTTTCTTTCTGGTAAACGAAGAAAATTGCTATACCTACAAAAATGTTGTACTTATTAATAATATTAACCAAAAAATTAGAATACATTAAAACATATACTATAAGAAAATAAAGTATTAGAAGATAAGCTAACATTAGGTACTTCACCTAATGGAATATTCCAATCGACCGCTGAGCTTTTCATGAATGCAGCTGAATCAAT